TTAAAAAAAATAAAAAAATACTGCTGCCTAAGTCTCTACCTTCTATTTTAATTGATCTGAGATGCGGCCTGAGTGTTGAGGTTTTTTAAAAAGGTTGCAAGATTAAAGGAATAATATATCAGATGATTCTGATGTACAGCCAAGACTCAGAGTTGCTGAAAATATTCTGCTTCCTCAAATCCTATTACCATTTACCTAAAATTTCCCCAGAGCTGGGTACTTTCACCACTATAACATAATAGAAATTCTTTTCTAACTTGTTGTCCAGAACAATGATTAATTTCCAGTTTGATGTTTTAATTATGCTAATATTTATTGAATACTTGGATGTGAGGGTTTTGCCTCTTTATCATCTTTTTGTTCCACTTTGTTTACTGAGGGTTAGGCTTTGCTTACTGAATGGTTATGCTTTGCTTACTGAATGGTTAGCTTTAAATCCTTTTTCCTCAGAGAGACCCTGTAATTTCTAGAAGTAATATTGTCTTTCAACTTGTGGTTAATAAATATCATACTTTTTAATTGGAGGATAATTGCTTTACAATGTTGTGTTTCTGCTGTACAGGAATGTGAATTAGCTGTAGGTATACATATATCCCGGAGGAGGGCATGGAAACCCACTCCAGTATTCTTGCCTGGAGAATCCCCACGGACAGAGGAGCCTGGTGGGCTACAGTCCATGGAGTTGCAAAGAGTTGGACATGACTGAGCAACTCAACACAGCACAGCACATACATATATCCCCTCCCTCTTGAATTATAGGTCACATTTTATTCTGTTTCTACTGGTGAGAAACTCAAGACAGGAAAAGAGAGGGAGCGAGAGAAACAGCAGGGGGCATTTTATAAGGGAAAAAAATCTTCTGATCTTAATATGTCACCCTTAGTATTTGATTCTCTGTGGCCCTTGGCTGGGGTTTTATAGATTCAGTAATTCCAAGAGGAAAATTCCAAGAACACTTATGACTGTGACCAAAGGCAGCTGATTTTCCTTTTGCTTTTAATTAATGCATTTCTTTCATTTCCAATAACAACGAAAAGCCACTACCTTTTTTCCCCAGAAAGTAACTTCCTCAGGAACAAATTATAATACTATTAAGCACAATGATGTAACTTGCTTCAGGTCAAGGGGTCTTGGACTTCAAAGGAAACATTCAGTAATTTTTACATGTCTCATAGCATTTCCCATCTCTTCCAGATGGTTCTAATACATGCTATTGCACAACCCACCTCATGCAGAGAATTACTTTTAGAATCAAGGTTAAGAATACATCCTACAGCTTTAGTTCTTAAAGTTCCACTCATTTCAAGCTTCATGAGATCTAAGAGCCATCAGGAGCCATATCTTTAACTTTTAGACCTGTGGTCTAGCAAAGTGTTCAGTAAATAGTACTTAATAAATGTTGACTAGATGGATGAATGTGTACACACATGTGTATTTGCTTCATATAAGCCAACACCATTGGGAGACCGACTTGGAGAGCTTTAAGAGTTAAGGAAGACAAATGCCATCTTTATGATCTAAGATTTCTTCAGTGCTCCAATTTTCTCTTCCCTACTTTTGCACCAGTTTTGATAAGAAAACAATTCACCCTAATGAGGCTGGCTCACCTCACTCACCCATCTTCCTTCTTAAAATGGCCAAAGCAGCTATTCTGATCCTACCACAAAATACAAAATTCGTTATAACAAAAACATGACTGCGGGAGGTACTCACTGATAAAATGTAGCCATGCAAATTCTATGATACATGTTGCCAGAAAATTTGGGGGCAGTTTTTCAAGGCTGATAAGCTCTTTATAGGGCTTTCCCTGGTAGCTCAGCGGTAAAGAATCCACCTGCCAACACAAGAGACTTGGGTTCAATCCCTGGTCCGGGAAGATCCCCTGAGGAAGGAAATGGCAACCCACTGCAGTACTCTTGTCTGGAGGACCCCATGGAGCCTGGTATGCTACGGTCCATGGGGTAGCAAAGAGTTGGACACCACTTACCCACAGAATGACAACAGCAAAGCCCGTGACAAGAAAGGACCCGGCTGAGAAAGTGGGGGGTGAGGAAGCACTCGCTACAGCGAGGTCAGAGGTCAACCTGGGCCAACCACAGCACACCACTGGGGTCACTTCTGTGTGCTTCGGTTTCCTCATCCTCAGATAAAGAGGTGTAGGTATCCCCCTAGCTCTGACACAGCCTGCATCACTGTGTTTGTCTTCATGTTACGGCGTATACAGTCATTGCGCAGACACAGAAGGGCCAAGCAGGGAAGTCTACATATTTGCTTTGAAGGATAAAAAAAAAGAAAGAAATGATTTATAATAATTGGAGAATGCCAAGATCTGGGGGGTTGGTTTTGTTTTAAACACAAATGTTCTCCTGTACTTGCTGCTTTGGTTTTCATATAATATCAATTTCCCAAAGCCATATGGACTTGCATTATATTATTCTTTGAGAGGTATGAAACCAGGCTGGGTAACAGCCCGGCACAGGAGTCAACTTATCAAGTGACACAGTTCAGTTTGTAACATAAGTAAGTTTTCCAGGAACCTGTTTTGCACTAGAGACTGCTACGGACAAGATAAAATTGCTGTGAAACCACCAAACAAGCTCAAAACAAAGCTGATGCAATCTATTCACCTGTCTTGGAAATTAGCAAGCATTTGTATGGTGAGACTGAGGCCCACTAACTACCTGAGTTGTGCAACTGAAAACCACTGGCTTGATTAGGTCCCAGTCCTTGTGCTACATGGACCTTCACCCAGTGAAAGCGTTAGAAATTAACTCTATGACACCAGAAGGAGAACAAACAATTCAGAAATCATAAAAATAACATATATCAAAGTCACTATCTATTAAACAACTAACTTAGTTCTAAGCTGAGATTTGGTTACTGAACTAATTTAAAGGAACTAATAGATGCACAAGTCACACCACACCTGCTTACAAATCATAAGTAAAGTAAGTGAAGTCCCTTAGTCATGTCCGATTCTCTGCAACCTCATGGACTGTAGCCTACCAGGTTCCTCTGCCCATGGGATTTTCCAGGCAGGAGTACTGGAGTGGGTTGCCATTTCGTTCTCCAGGGGATCTTCCCAACCCAGGGATCAAACCTGGGTCTCCCGCACTGTAAGCAGACACTTTACCGTCTGAGCTGCCAGGGAAGCAAAGGGACTTTTAAAAATCCATTTACAACATGAAGACTGTCTGTGCCTTAGTCCCAAACAATAATACCCAAACACTGAAGCAAAGAAGTCAGCTATATATTTACCTACTGGTGACCAACAACAGAAGTTTAGTGCCTTCAGGAGTCAGGCCATTTTGATCCTTAGTTTTACATGACTAAACTAAGACTTATGTTAGCAGAAGGAGCAATCCGCTGCCAGGGTCTGCCCGAACTCCAAGCACCTGCTTTCTCTGGTCTGGAGGCAGATGGTACATCATAAAAACAAAAGTCATGGGGAAAATGTACAGAAAGATATTCCCTTTAAAACCCTTTAAGAGGCTCTTTTTCCTAAAATCTAATGCCATAAATATACATGTTTATGTTAATATCTTAGCTTAGAATTTGGAACTGATTTGGGGCATTAAAAAAGTTTCCTTAGCCTGATTCATATTCATATGTTCACATTTCCATGGAATGTGAAAACAGCTTTTCCTTTAGCTGATTAACACCTAAGGCAGGACAGGACAGGAATTTTGGAATTCTAACAAATATCCTAAACAAAGACAGCTGCTGTCCTTATCCTTCAATATTACCACTAACTGAACCTCCACTAAGTTCTTGTACAGTAACTGAGACACTGCTTAATACGTATCTGAATCAGCTCAGGCTGCTATAGCAAAACAGCACAGATGGAGTGGCTTAAACAACAGGAACGTACTCCTCACTGTTCTGGAGACTGGTGAGTCCAAGATCCAGGGCTACTTTGGTTCCGCTGTGAGGTTCCTCTTCCTGGTGGCAGACAGCCACTGTCCTACTATGTCCTCACATGGCAGACAGCAAGCTCTGATTTCTCTCCTTCTTCTCATAAGAACATTGACCCCAATGTGGGGACCCCAAGCATGATGTCACCTGACCCTAATGACTGCCCAAAGGCCCCACCTCCAAATAGCACCACGTCGGGGTTAGGACTTCAGCATTTGGATTATGGAGGGACATAATCACTTAGTCCATAATGGGATAACCTCATTTATATTTGTAGGATTTGCAATAGGTGAGCTAGACTGTAATAAACTGGTCTTATAATACGCTTTTCCACAATGATTGTATAGGGTGGTGCGTCTCAAACTTTAGGTGCATTGGAGTCCCCTGAAGCTTGTCAAAACACAGAACACTTGGCCTGACTGCTAGGGATTCTCATTTAGTAGGTTTGAGGTTTGAGTCAGTTCCTCATTTAGTAGGGAGCTAAGGATTTGTATTTCTAGCAAGCTCCCAGATGATACGATGCTATCTGTTTGAGAACCACTGATGCAGGTGTTCCCTTTAGAATGTCAACATCAGTTATGACTCTCTGGGCCTGTATTGGCTTCTCAGTAATAACTTTTATGCTGAACATACTTGAAATGTGTCAGTCGCTTATACGCAGATGTTGCATACCAAGATGCTCAATAAGCAGATGGACAGATATGCTGGGTGAGGCTGCTTCATGCTGTTGAGCACCCAGGAAGAGTCAATTAATGCAGTATGTCTCATCAGCTAATTGTGACTTCACAAGTCACCAGGATTTACAAGACTGCCTGCTGACATCTCATCCTTACTGATTTTTATCTTAGAATTTAGATTTGGTCTTTAACGTTGATGGGTTCTTACATCGACAGGCACATTAGAATCATTTGAACTGATATCAAATTTTGACAAAGCTTAACATGAAGCACTTAAGCAATGCTTACTATTTATGTTCAACTCATTCGCCCTAAAGTCGTACTTGGTTAAATTTTAAAGCATGGCTCTGTCATGAAACAGCATAATTTTAAGATTTATTTCAAGTACACTTTGGAATGTAAACATACCTTATTTAGCTTTACAAAAAATTCCAGTCCAGCTTCCAAAGGATTTGTATCACAGTTCATCTAAAAGGGAAACATGCATTTTAAATCTTATATGAGTACAAGTGGTTTTAGTAACATCACTTTCATATTTATTTTTTAAAGAGAATACTTTTTCATTTGAAATATATAGATAGACAGATAGACATAGATATAGATTGTGAACTGGCCTCTAAAGTAATTTTTTAAATCTAAAATTCAAATGTAGCCTTTCAGCAAATACTGTTATTTTAATAGCAAATTAGATACTAAAATTCCCAGCTTGTTTCCAAGGCTCTTTTGGTATAATAAACATCTGAGGGATGCCACAACAATGATGTTCTTCCCAGAAACAAGATTCTCATAAGCTTTTACCTAATAATTCTTCATAAATATGTTTTGAAACATTATTAAGTAATTTATTTATCTTGCAATCATCCAGAAATCAGGATAGGTAGAGGAAAAAAGCATATGCTAGGAAAATAGTTTCCACAGAGTTCAGGAGAGGGAAAAGGGGAAAAAAAAAAGAGGTTGAATCTCAATCTTTTCAAATTGGCTATCATTACAATATACTTCAAGGGGAGCTAAAGCCATCTTTAGGGACTAGACCTGATTTTTAAGAGGTTGAATCTCAATCTTTTCAAATTGGCTGTCATTACAATATACTTCAAGTGGAGCTAAAGCCATCTTTTGGGACTAGACCTGATTTTTGTTTGTTTTGCTGTCATTAATCTCTTTTGCACCAAGAGAACTAATCTAAACCCCATAAAAGGTAGCCAAACTTAACAAAAAAAAAAAACACAGCTTTTGCATGATCTAGATGTGTAATATAAATTTCCATGATATAAAATTTTATATCATGGAATTTTATATCAAAATTTTATACATATAAAATATGTGTAATATAGTTTTCCATGATATAAAATTTGACTTCATATTTCCTAGTCAATTTTAGCAACTCTAAGATTATTTTTTACTTGCTCAAATTTTCAAAATTCCAGAAACGAGATGAGAATTTATTACTTAGGGTTTTCTCAGTGCCTCACCCCAAACCTCATGCTTACTAGAGCACTTGATACCATCTTGTTGATTTTAAGATGCTGCCCTTGCCACACTGACATTTATAAAGCCAGCATGTGTTCTATGATAAAAGTCTACTTTTAAGACAATATTTCATTGATTAAAAAAAATTTTTTTCAGAATTCCAGGAAACAATTGAAAACCAAGTCCAGATGCTTGATTGCTGTAATAACACTAGAGGGCGTGCTGGCACCGCTGGGAAATTAGAGGGGCTGGGATGGAGACAGGAGAAAACGCAAGGGGGAGAGCAGAGAAATGCTGCCCGTTCCTTGGAGTTCCTTGGAGTTCCTTGGAGTGGAGGCAGAGCTGTCCTCTCCGTCTCTCCCTGCAGCAGCGTCCTCTGAGAAGCACCCCCACCCCAGCAGGCTGAGGATCCCGCAACAGAGCACATCCTCTGAAAAGCAACAACCACCCCAGGGCTCTTGTTCTTTCAGTGACCCCAGGAGCCTGAATTGTCCACCTCAAAGCCCACTTTCTTCTGCCCCTGATCTAAATGTCCTAGGGACCCTGCCTGTGCTTTCAAACCCACTTTGCCCTCAAATTCACGCTTTATGTCCTAGGTACTTTGCGGACTACCTAATTTTGACAACAACTCTGTAGGATAAAGACTGTCTCTCTCTTACAGAGAAGTGAAGTCTCTGGAGAGTTAAGGCCACATAGTATGTGGTGGAGGATACATTCAAACCCGAGATGCTACCCTGAAGTACACCCTTTACAAAGGTCCCTTATCTAAGCTCTCACACCTAAAACCTCAATGTATTCCAAGAAAACTAGCGGACCTGAGAAAATTGAGGTCTAAAGATAGTCTGCTATATTGGAGATAAAATAAGAGAACAGAGTTTGAACCACTGTTTGAACACTTCTGTGCAATCTGGACCAAGTTGTTTACTGTTTCTTAGCGTGACTGTGTGTTTAACTCCCACCTCCTTGCCCGAGAATCACCAATAATACCCTCTTCAGGGAGAGCTGAGAAGGTTGATGACATCATGCCTATGAAAATGGTGTGTAACTACACAAATAGAAATCCTGAGTTCTCATTATTAATGATAGGCGTGGGCTGCCCAACACATTCCAGACCACCAGTCTTGCCCATCAGAAAGACAGCTTTTGCTGTTACTTCCCCAAAAGGTGCAGAATAAGAAGGCAATGATGATAGACAATGTGACAGAGGAGAAGGAAGAATTTTGAAAGGTGGTCCTCAAATCCCATGGGGTAGACAGGCTCCCTTGGGGCAGCCAAAGTCAGCACACAGAAGCAGGTGTCCAGGGCTCTCTGCCAACCAAGGGGAATTAAGGCAGAATAAACATTACATCACAATTCCCCTAAATTTGCAACTGGGAAATTGAGGAGAAAAACCTTTGTCCCTAATTAGATAAAGTTTTCAGGACTTCCCTGGTGGTCCAGTGGTTAGGACTCTATGCTTCCACTGCAGGTGGTGTGGATTCCATCTCTGATCAGGGAACTAAGATTTGGCATGCTGTCCAATGTGGCCAAAAAAAAAATTTTTTTTTCTTACAATACATTCTTTCTCTTACAGTCAGAGCCAATGTTAACACAGTTAACTAACCCTTGCATAAAAATCAGATACAACACATGAAAAATTTTAATAAAGATGATAGCATTTCAAACCTCTGACCCCCAGGCTCTGAAAGCTTTCTCCAGTCTTAAGGCATTCATGGCATAGGTTCCAAAATTGTCAATTCCCTCCTCCTGGCCTGCATTCATGATAGCGTCGTAAAGCGCTGCAGAATCTTCTCGTCTGTGGTACAGCTCCCAACCCAGCTCACCTGAAATACACCCACAAGGGCCACACCAGAGTAAGAATGACGATCACTAGGTCTAATGTGCATTAGCTAAATCACATCAACAAATGAGAGATTCCATTTCTGCAAAATAGACACTGTAGAGTGATAAAAGCTTGGTTCCCAAAAATGTTGCAACCAAGCCCCGCTGCAAAGGAGCCTGCCGTAGGACAGATGTTCTGTGCCCAATACTGCCCCACCCCCACACAGAGAGAGCAGCATTTAAAACGACTCAGACAGACGGTGATTCAGGACTTAACCTTACCTCTCACCTTGGCTCCATAATGTTAAGTGAGGACTCAGCATGGCAAAGTTTATCAAGATAAGGGGTTCAAGGTTTAAACACCTCAACCCCCAGCTCCTTGGCCCCAAATCACGAAGCTTAAACATACAGGCCACTGATGACAATTATTCGAATGTGCCTCACTGGGGGATAGCCAGAGTCTCTAATGGCCCCCACTTCCTCCTTCTCCCTACTTGGTCATTTCATTCACCATGAGAACCACAGGCAAAAAAAGAAGAAAATGAAACCCAGCTCAGAGTCTGCTTGTTTTGTATTTTGCTTACGTTTTATTCTGGTCACCAGTTTTCCAAGGTTGGGGGGAGGGAGGACGGGGACAAGAGAAGCCTAGGGAAGAGCTCTGGCCTTTATACCGTGTGCTCGCCCTGTTCCCCGTGCGGAGGGCGGGGAACACCACCGGGATAGGAGCACCGTGGGCCCGAGTGAATGCTGGGCACCCAGCCCTCCTGTGAAGGGACAGGGAGTCTAGAGGAGCTTAGGAACGAGCCCAGAGAACCAGTGGGGACCTGCAGAGCATCCATTCATCCCTGTCTCTAGTACTTAATACATGCCATTAGGTGCCAAGGAAGACTTCTCTAATGCACTTAGAAAGAAAGATGAACAGCGGTAATGCTTTAAGGGCTGTGCCTAACACATTCAAGATGTTCTCTAAGGGAGACCATTTTGAATTCTCCCACATGGAATCAATCCTAAAGGAAATCAATCCTGAATATTCATTGAAGGACTGATGCTGAAGCTGGAGCTCCAATATTTTGGCCACCTGATGCGAAGAGTTGACTCATTAGAAAAGACCCTGATGCTGGGAAAGATTGAAGGCAGGAGAAGGGAGTGTCAGAAGACGAGATGGTTGGATGGCATCACCTACTCAATGAACATGAGTTTGAGCAAGCTCCAGGAGATGGTGAAGGACAGGGAAGCCTGGCTTGATACATGCAGTCCACAGGGTCCCAGTGTAGGCCACGACTGAGGAACTGAACAGCAACAGAGCAGAATCAGCTGGCCTGACTATTCTGTCATCCCTTCCAACTATCCCAACAACTGTCCTCTGCACTTTCTTACCTACCTTTCCGAATGGTAGGCAGCTAGCTATGGGCCTGGAACCACAACAGGAAGTCTCTGGAATGACTTTCTCAGACGCAGAGTGAATAAACAGAATTGTCAGGAGAGTTGAGCAGGAGAAATCTTCCTCCAAATTTACATTGAAGAGACTGAACATGTGTGTATGCACACATTTCCAGGTGCTTCTAAATTTTAGAGACTTACTCTAGGCTGTTTTCCAATTCTTACCAGTATAAGATATCCTGATAGCAGTGACAGGAATGTTGGAAACCTTTAAAGGCTTGGTTTGAAGAAACTTGAAAACGTTATCACTAAGATCGTCAGAGGTCAGTTTCTGTAGGACCTTTCTTGAATATGGCCCTGCGACGCCAAGGACTCCAAGCTCATCGGTTATGTTTTTAATTTCAACATCACATCCACCTTTGATTGCCTCTTCTTCAATCCATCTGCATTTGAGATTCATAAACACTGTGTTAAATCTTGCTGGAATAACACATGTTGGTAACATTATTTCTCTGAAGATATACTGTGTGTCTAGAATTACCAGAAAATCCCTAGAGTGTCATTTCATATAACCAACCAATTTTTAAATTTGAGGAAACTGAGTCTCAGAAGTAGTAAATGATTCTTTTTAAGCTGCTGCTGCTAAGTCGCTTCAGTCGTGTCCGACTCTGTGCGACCCCATAGACGGCAGCCCACTAGGCTCCTCTGTCCCTGGGATTCTCCAGGCAAGAACACTGGAGTGGGCTGCCATTAAGCTTACATATATGTGGGTTGCCACCCACTTACAAATATGTGGGTGGTTTTTCACAGCACAGAAGGATCCTTCCATTTAAACAAGCTCTGCCGCAAAATTTTTTCAAACAGTGACGGCCCTATTACATTTAAACTAATGACTCCATCTTGGGAAGTTAATTTAAACCCAAATTTTCTCTAATACCCATACATAGGAGATGTAATTGTGTTGCTAAAGGTTAATAATGTGCCTGCCACCAGACACATGCTTGCTTTGACAATCACAAGGAGAAGATTAAAACTCTAAAGACTGGTTTCAATTTCTGAGTCTTGATTGGAAGCCAGTTAGAGGGTTTGCTTATAATTTACTGAGCAGTCCCTGGAGCCACACAAATCTGTCATAAAATGATCATCTGGACTGACACAAAGCTAAGTGACTAAGATGACTCCTAACATATCTTCGATAGGAGGATAGAATTTGTATCACCTTACAACTAGAGTGAGAGTCTGTTGGAGTAAGATGTTTATCAAACAACAATATTCCAAATATTTTTGAAATACTAAAGACAATATATTTTCCAGTAGACTAAATAGTAGACTGAAGATTCATGTGAAGGATAGCATTGGCAAATCAATGATTTCAACGCAGCGTTGGGCCAGAGAGCACAAAGTATGAATAAAATAAAAAAGAAGAAGAAAACCCCGGAGGCAACACACTAATGTGAGCCGAATGTGAGCATCAGAATCTATAAGACTGACTTGAGCAGGTCACTGTAACCCAAACTTCAGTTTCCTCACCTGAAAATGGGCACAATATATACCTTGCAGATAAACCTACTAAAAGAACTTATTGAGACAGTGTGTAAAAATGGTTCTGACATATGAGTGATACCTAATAAATAGGAGTTAACATTATTAGAACCAGTAAACCCAGTGGTTTACTTTACCTTTGGGAGGGGGATGGTTATAGGGACCCTCACTTGAAGTAATTTCCTATAAAAGACATGAAATTTATTTAAAACAATAAGTTTTACAGATTTTAAGTTGTATTTTCAATTACTGATTATTAAAACCCACAAAACATAAGTACCCTTGGTGCAAGACTGGATCAGTTATAAGGCACATAGTTTTCTTAGGATGTGTACACTTACCTAAGATCATGAAGTTCTGACCCAGAACCAGTTACTAATAGGAACTCCCCAGGAGACTGGTGAGAGACAGTCAACTCAGCATATACTCGACCTTTTGGAGTTAACATGTGACTTATATTTGTAAAACCCACCTACAGAAATGAAGAAAATCTTATGTATCCTTTCAATGCCACATGGAAATAAAAACGTGGATGTCAACAGTGTAAGACATCTGAATCTTTTATATCAATTGTGTAGACTGTAAACCTAAACCCATTAATTTTGAAGTTTTCAGTTTAAATGATCATTATAATTACTGGTCAAAAAAATAACATTTCAACCAATCTGGGGGTTCCTATTGACACAATTAAACAAAGTCATATGATCCTTAGATAATAATTCAGTCAACAGAAATTTAAATTTGAAAATTAGCTAGAATGCCCTTCACTAGTTGAAGAATTCTCGTGTTCATACAGAAATCACTAGGTGAACTGAAATAATACATTGGTTTTTTGAAAATGAGGGTATAGAAAATTAAGCAGGCCAGGATCCTGAGCCTTGTACCTCTACCCCCATAATGTTATTTACCTTGGGAATAACATTTGCAAAGAGATAGTCCAACAATCTAATGGAGTCTTGGCCTTTGATGTTAAACTTGCCAAACGGTGACAGGTCAATCACCCCTACTCTTTGCATAACCTGTTGATACTCAGAGCCCACAGGCTCAAACCAGTTTGTGCGGTGAAAACTTGGCCTGAAACACAGTGTCACAAAACAAGTTATTTGTTTAAAAAAAAAATCAGAATAAGAATATTTTTATAAGCTCTATGTGCTCAGTCATGTCCGATTCTTCGTGACCCCACGGACTGTAGCCCACCAGGTTCCTCTGTCCAGGGAATTTTCCAGGCAAGAATACTGGAATGGCTTGCCTCTCCAGATTCCTACTCCAGAGAATCTTCCTGACCCAGGGATCAAATGTGTGTCTCTTACATCTCCTGCATTGGCAACTGGATTCTTTATCACTGAGACACCTGGGAAGCCCTAACAAGCCCTACTTGTCTAGACATTTTCATTTGGGGGGAAAATGCCACCTGTTCTACCAGTCATACATATATATTGGAAACTGATTTTTTAAGTTACTCATCTATCCCTTGACCCATTTCACAGTGAATAAAGTATTAATTAACAAGAAAATAAGATGGGCTTTGTGGGCTCTCAGATTTGAAAAAGAGCTTAAAAGTCACCCAGTCTTTTAGCTGTCAACCTTGGTTACATATCAGAATCACCTGGGGGAGCATTTTAAAAATACTAACTTGGGGGACATAAATCAGACTATATGAGGGGTAGAGCTATCTTGTCTGATACTTCTCAAGTGTTTCTGTAAATACGTCACTTGCACGTGTTACAGAATCTGATGCAGCAGGTCTGGGGAGGGCCCTAGATGCTGCCCTCTAACAAGCTCCCATGTGATGCTCATGCTGGCCACCTGGAGTAAGCAAGCATCTGGTCCAATATCTTCCGTTTTTAGACAAAAGGCACAAAGTGACTTCCGAGGCCTCTGTACTAGTTAATGACAGAGCGGGGCCCGGAGCAAAGGTCTACTGACTCATTATGCAGGGGCCTTTCTACTTTACAGAGTAGACTATTAATGTAGTATTTTAACTTCAGAGGAGGATATGTTTTCAGTGGTTTAATTATTAAAATAGTAGAAAAAACAAGCCAGGTTCAAATAGTACAACATGAAGAATAGATCTGGCATTTATCTGGGTCACTTAGAAAAACAACCAAGCCAGTATTTTGTCCCCAGGTGATCTCCACTGGCTGACTACAGAGTACGAATTCATTAATCAATAATTGGCCCACTACTATACTTTGGACCATTTAGGTCTGATCATAAAGTAGACATCAAAATCTGCTTAAATAAGCAGAGTAACAGTCAAAAAAAGGTAACAACTTGAAAACTTGCTTTCTCTTGGTTTGTGTCTTCTCATGAGAAAAAAGTATGTAATCATTATTCATCCTAAATACTAATCCTTGAATATGTAATTCAAGCACTATGTCAACAACTTTAGAGGAAATCAGAGAATTATTTCAGTTATATGCTTTATGTTTTAGCTTAACCTAAAATAGTAAGTAAATGACCTTTTCCCCTAATTTATCAACAGTGTATGTAATTCATTGCACACGCATTAGAAAGCAGTAGCTTTCAGCTATTCCCTTATAAACAGAAAATCCATATTTCCATACTGTTTCCATACTATGTGATTTGACCAGGCATCTTAAATCAATGTAAACCTTTAAAAAGCCAGATAAAGGGGATTTGGAGAGGGTGGGGAAGGTTCCTCTGGGCAATTGGAAAATTCCAAGAAAGGGCTTCACTTGGGCTGATTGTAGGTTTCTTGAGGCCACATGGGTCCTTAACGTGGGCCAGTGAGGCCTCCACTGCACAGAAATTATTTTTATGGAAAAAGGCTCAATGCTGTTTGGAACAGGGTAGAGTGAAGGGGTGAGAGAAGGATATGGTGCTTCTCTGGGGTCCCTCCATCCCACTCCCAGAGTTCATTCTGCATTCAGAGCCACAGGTAGGCTAAGTCACTCATTTACCTGTACCCAGGGGTCCTGGCCTGGTTTGTAGAGCCAGTGTGGGGGATATGGTGCTTCTCTAGAGTCCCTTCATCCTACTCCCAAAGTTCACTCTGCAGTCACAGCCACGGGTAGGTTAAACCACTCATTTACCTGTACCCAGGGTCCTGGCCTGGTTTGTAGAACCAGTGTGGCTGCTCCCAGCCTGCATGGAACCCCATGGAACACTTAGACTCCAGGGTTTTATAAAGCCCACTGACTCGCTGAGTTGGCCTCCCAGCAAATCGTTCTTCTTTAGGATAACCAACTGAAAAAGGAAAACCCATACTCTAAATAGCATAGAACCAAAACTACAAAATATTCTGAAGGGATTCAGAAAATGGAAAGCACAGTACTCAAAATCCAGAAGCTATATGTATGCAGATATATATATACATATATATACACATAGCATATATGTAAAATAAACATATAAGCTTAATATATAAGCATATATAATAATACATATTAAATTTATATTTTCAAGAAACCAAAACCATCATTCAAAATGATCACCAAAGGTAAAGTAAAAATAGATTTAAAAGTTAAAATCACTGATGCATTCCTCACATTAAAGATATATATTCACATAGATTCTTTTTTTGTTTTAGAAGCATATGCTTTTTAGACTCCCTAACCATTCCCCAACGATGCACAGAATAAAAAGCACCTAAGCTCAGAGGTGCTGTAAGTCAATTCTGAACACACTTCACAGACAGTAGTGAGTTTGCACCTCACCGATGTTGTTGAATCCATACGACTCCCTCGCTTTGGCCTCGGTATACTCAGTAGTCGTCCATTTGCCATAGCGATTGGGATCCAGTTCTATCAGATCGAACGGCGGTTCTCCATGCAGGATCCAATCACTGAGATATTTCCCAACCCCACCAGCATGGATTATGCCGTATCTTTCAAATATAGAAATAAATACCCTGTTATTAACACATATTACTTTCCAGCAATGAAACATGTCCAAATATTTCACAAGGCCTCAAAGCTGGAGTGTTCTATGCTATTCAGAACACACAATCAACATAATCTTTATACTATCATCTTTTTCCAAAAAAAAAAAATGTTTAAGCATCCAAATTAAATGTGCCTGACTTGATAACTAGTTAGTTTCCACAGTTTCAAGAGCTGCATATCTGCAGAATAGCCTATGACTCCTAGCTAGTAAGGATCTTGCTCTAGGAAAATAGAGGTAAGGAAGCACACAGGCAGATGTGGTTGGTACCTTATCTTGAGCTATGATTATTCTCGCTAATAAGAATCTTGCAAGAGAAATATGTGCACTCTGGTGTGGCACACCCATCCCTTCTCAGACTCAGTTTAGTTTAGGTCCCTTTAGCAGCAATCTCTGTACAAGGACTTGGGCCATTATCATAGGCATACAGACAAAGAGACAGTCACCCAAGGACTTGTGGGGAGGAAGGGGAGAAACAATGGCTCCTGTATTTTGCAACCAATGAGTCACTCGGTGTGGAGGATTAGCTTGTTTCTATATCCACATGAAGACACTTTAAAACCAAAACCATGGGCTTCCCTGGTGGCTCAGTGGTGAGGAATCCACCTGCCAATGCAGGAGATACAGGTTCGATCCCTGATCTGGGAAGCAACTAAGAGCAGGGAGCATGCCTGCAGATCTTATGCAGAGCTGAAGAGCGATTAAGCCCATGGGGTGATTCAGGAGGTAAAGAATCCTCCTGCAAAGGGGGAGATCTGGGTTTGATCCCTGGGTTGGGAAGATCCCCTGGAGGAAGGCATGGCAACCTACT